TAATTACATTTCAAATGACTTACAATTGGATCAGATTTTTGGAGAAGTCTTGCAATTCTTGGTTCGCGAAGACTACTGAAGACGAAGCGATGGTTACAACCAATAGGTATACAATTGAAGACATTTTGCAAACACTTTATATTATTTGTTGTTATAATTCAAATAATAATTAACTTTTTATAAATTATTATGAATTAGTTTTCAGTTTATGTTTCTTTATATACTTTTATTGTGAGAAGAGATAAGTGTATCAATCGTTTAATACATTACTGTATTTCATATAATATTTGAAACAATGATTTATTAAATAATTTTTAAAATGATATTTAATGCGGTTTTTATTACATTAAGATTAGTGTCAAAACTTCAGTGCTTTTGGTTTATCTCTCACTTCACTATAGATTTGATTAACAAATCATTTGACATAAAGTATCACAACTTTAAGCACATGTTTTGTCATAAAAATAATAATTTCTAAACTATTGTGTAATGAAATAATTAATTACTTTGAAAATAAGATTAAATATACGATTTTCGTCATTGAAAAAACTCTTTCAGTACTTTTGGTTTATCTCTCACTTAACTATAGATTTGATTAATAAATCATTTGACTTAAAGTATTGTTAAACTTAAGATAATATCAATACAATTGTGTAATAATTGTATGTATTTTTAAAAACGTGTTATTTTCAGTGCATTTGGTTTAGGATTTCAACAAATAATCTGTAATTCATTTTCTTATCAAACAATTGCTATATTTTTTGTATTAAAACTCAAAATAATTGATGACTAATAATAAGATTTCAATTAATATTAAAAATATGTTTTCAATAGAATTTATTATCAGATCTTAAGTCTAATTCTCTATCAATTGTTAGGTAATTATCACTCAATAAAGACATCATTCAATAGTATATAAAGACATGACTTTTGTTTGAGAAAAGTATAACAAAATTGTCTTATAATTCAATTATAATAATAATTATAATTAAATATAAACTGCAATAAAATGATGAGAATATTAGCGATAGTGTTGTCAGTCTTAGCCCTCGTCTCAGCCCATCCTCTCATTCAAGAGACCAATGATTTGGAAATTATTGCCAAAAATATTCTCTCGAAGTAAGAAATATATAATTTTATATTTAACTTAATATTAATTACTTTATTATTATTGTTATATTTATAGCATTTCCGGTCATTTGAATGCAAACCAAACTTTGAATGAATTTCTGTCCAAAACTGATATCAATAAAAGACCTGAAAATGAACTCAAAGCTAATGACGGACTCATTATTACGGAAGCGATCGGAAGTCTCGGAGCGACAGTTGTTTTGGTTAAAAGTGGCCAAAAGTCCGTCAAAATAAGTAATGTCTACGGCTTGGGTGCGGGCGCTGTGGCCAACATTAATGGCGGTCTGATATCAATAAAAGACCTGAAAATGAACTCAAAGCTAATGACGGACTCATTATTACGGAAGCGATCGGAAGTCTCGGAGCGACAGTTGTTTTGGTCAGAAGTGGCCAAAAGTCAGTCAAAATAAGTAATGTCTACGGCTTGGGTGCGGGCGCTGTGGCCAACATTAATGGCGGCAAAAATGGCCGCAAAAATGTGGACGAAAAACAAGAAGTGAAGACAATTACCGAACCTTTATATGAGAAATGTATGCAAAACTCAATTAATATTTTAAAACTTTTTTGTTAATCATTTTGTATTCAATCAGATATGAAATCTTTGGACTCAAAGGACTCTTCGGTCGGTCTATTGGTTTTAGCCGAAGGCGGAAACGCTGGGGAGGCTGTGATCGCCACCCGTGAGGGTTGGCTCGACGTTAAGGGCGCCTCCGGTTTCAGACTCGGCTCTTATACCGAAATCTCGACCAAAGGCTAAATTGTTCAAAAATATAATGTTTTTACAGTTATACTATAAATAATTGCCACTTGTATTTATATTTATTCATTTATTAATACATAAATAAAGTCAAATTTAATTTATCAATATGCTGAATTTAATTTAATAGTGAAGTAAAAATGTATATCAAATTACATTAATTTACATCTAATGTGTTGTAATTGGATAAAAATATATAATTTATGCCTAAACTACCCAGGCTAATATCTAAAAATAAGGCAATTTTTCTTAACCAACAAAACAACTCAATAATTGACATAAATAATAAATAATTACTGCTTAATATAACGTTATCTAACATTAGTTTACCAATTGATGAGACCATGCGAGCCGTGTTGTGTGTATTAAACGCAAATATTGTATATTTTATCGTTAATTAAATTGAATTTAAGCTTTAGATACCAAGTGAACGCATACTATACCAGAGCACTAAACCAGACATCATTATACCATAAGTTATGGTCCATAACATTGCTGAAGGCATACAACAGTCCATGTGTTTAAACTGATCATGCTTATATCCTTTCTATTATCAAAGTACGCCACTATGTTAAATAGATTTACAAATATAATTAATACATGTGGCGACAAACCAATGGCCATTTGACTCATTTAATCGACGTTTAATGGGATTTGTTTTAATAAGATTTAAAATTCAAAAGGTATGCGAAGTGTGAATCAGCTCCTGATAATTGGCCACAACTCCGTCCAAAAATACCGATAGCGCTAAGAAATGCAAACCAAATGCCAATAACCGTTGGTTACCAATGATATACTGTATGTGAAATTGCATAACAGTTGCAAAACGTACGGATCATAGCTTATGGCTCTGATTGCAAACCCAATTGTTGTCAACAAACAGAATATTCTAATAATTAATACACAGAATATTCTATGTTTTTTAATAAGAAGTTTCTCATAATAATCATCGCTCGAGGGATATATCAAAAGATAGTTCTCTCGTCAAAACCGGTCAATACTATTGAATGCTTTATAGGTTTCACTTGTGTTTAATTTACAAATTTTAATTTTAGTTTTAATTTTTACTTATGTACAAATGATAAATGCTGTAATAACTACAGTGTAGTTATTTAATATGATAATAAAATAATTCCTTCTGTTAATTAAAATTTACAACAACATATATTTTTTAGATTTTTAGACCCCGGCCTTTGAGTGTTAACTTTTTCCAAGTTTTTGTCAATTATTATATTAATTGGTTTAATATTAAAATAATTAAATTGTTTTGATTTTGCTTTTAAAAACTTTTATTAATAGAAATTATAATAAATTATTATTAATTTGTGGCAAATATTGATTTAGAAATGCTTGGGATTTGTGTTAACCTCTGGCAGAGATCTCAGTATAGGATCCGAGTTTGAAACCGGAGGCGCCCTTAACGTCGAGGTGACCCTCACGGGTGGCGATCACAGCCTCCCCAGCGTTTCCACCTTCGGCTAAAACCAATAGACCGGCCGAAGAGTCCTTCGTTGACAACGAATTCATATCTAATTGAATACAATAATGTTAATTAAAAAGTTTTAAAAGTCTGATTGAGTTTTGCATACATTTCTTATATAAAGGTTCGGTAATTGTCTTCACTTCTTGTTTTTCGTCCACATTTTTGCGGCCATTTTTGCCGCCATTAATGTCGGCCACAGCGCCCGCACCCAAGCCGTAGACATTGCTTATCGTCAAAGACTTTTTGCCAGAACTGACGGTCACTTTGAGGGCACCGATGGCTCCGATTCTCTCCACTATAAGGAATCCGTCGTTAGATTTGAGTTGAGTTTCGGATTTTTTATTGATTGAAGTTTTGGTCAGAAGTTCATTCAAAGTTGGTTTGAATCCAAATTAACAGAAATGCTATAAATATAACAATAATTAATAAATTATATTAAATATAATTATAGATTAAATTCAGTTTTCCTACTCTTTCAACACATTTCTTGCGATTGACTCCAAATCATGGGCTGAGACGAGGGCTACGACTGACACAAACGCTAACAATATTTTCATCATTTTATTGCAGTTTATATTTAATTATAATTATTATTATAATTGAATTATAAGACAATTTTGTTATACTTTTCTCAAACAAAAGTCATGTCTTTATATACTATTGAATGAAGTCTTCAATGAGTGATAATTACCTAACAATTGATTGGATTTAAGATCTGATTGTAAAATATTTTATAAACAGATTTTTAGTTTTAATTGCAATCCTATTATTAGTCATCAATTATTTTTAGTTAATTATTGATTAGTTTTAATACAAAATATATCAATTGTTTAATAAGAAAAATAAGATAATTACTAAATATTTGTTGAAATCTTAAACCAAATGCACTGAAAATAACATGTGTTTAAAAATCCATTCATTTTTTAGACAATTGTATTGAAATAATCTTAAGTTTAACAACACTTTAAGTCAAATGATTTGTTAATCAAATCCATAGTTAAGTGAGAGATAAACCAAAAGCACTTAATTTTGACATAAAATGTGACGACAAATGAGTTTTTATTTTATTTTCAAAGTATTGTTTCGAAATATTTATGAAATAATGTATTAAATGATCGATTGATAGACTTATCTCTACTCACAATAAAAGTATAAATAGTGACACAAATTGCAAATTACTTTTAAAAATGTTTTAAAAAGTTAATTATCATTAAATCTAATATAAATACAATAATAATAAATCTTTGAATTTCAAAACATCACAATAAAGTTTATTAATTATCTTAAAACAAATTATATTAAAATACAGTATTATTTAAAAATTATAGTTAAAACTAATTTTATAAAAAATTCATATAATTTAAGAGTTTAAACATGTTTTGCTAAATATAGACACATATTCTTAAGTCCGCGTTCGCCGTAGTCTTCGGCTAAACCTAACAGTTGTTGACAGTTCTGGTCATTCACTTCGGGTCGCAATCCATACAAAAACATGAGAAACGCTTTAATTGTGTCATAAGAATAGGCATTGATTTCGATATCCCTTTCATTAAACATATTTTGTTCACATATTCTCCAAAACTCTTTGTTTCTAATCTTGAGAACAGTTTTGTGACAATAAATCACTTTATTTTCGACAATAAATCTTAAATCAAAATCCAATCGATTGTTAAACGCTTTCAACAAATGCTTTTGAAAACAACTGAAAACAATTAAATCATTCAATATTTAATCCGTTAACTAATTATCAATACTTGCTTTACGATCGGATCACAACAAGTGGTGCTCTTATCGCTAATGGTTCCCGTATTATACAATCCTTCGCCTTCCGTATCAGACATATAGACCTCTTCATCGCTTTCGGAACAGTTGTTCATCGATTGTATGGACTCTTTGTTTGCCAACAAATGGTTTTGAAAACTAAAAATAAATTCAATTAATATATAATTTTTTTTATTGATTATTAAAATTTACTCTATATTTGGATCAATACTACTAATCGAGTCAACGGTTCCCGCATTATCTCCACATTCAGTGAGACGTAAATTCATTGCATTTTTAGTGGATTTACTTTTCAATGAAAATAAAACACAAAACATTGAAAACAATCGGTGCTAAGAATGACATGACTTACGGATCAATTGAATCCGATATCAAAACAAGTGACGGGCCGTCGGGTAATACAGATCCCGATTTGTGACATTCATAGTCAATATGTGGACCAAAATGTGATAAATTGGATGACATCAGTGATTGTGTCTGCAATCGATTGGTCTCTTTGTCTTCAACTTCTTCGGGATCAGATAAATAGATCTCTTCGTCACTTTCGACAATGATATCGACATTTGATTCGGGCTTCAAATGATAGTAAGAATGGGAACCAATGGATTCGGTGACTACAGCTGTGGTCGTGTCCGACAGTGATATCGCGTCGCGAATCAAATCGACAATTGAATTGAAAGTGCGTTTAAAACCGCAATAATCGGCGTAAACATCAAACAGCGAACAACCCATCGGTATATCAATGGGTGTAAAGATATGCAAACCATTATCTGTTCCCACAATGAAGTGCTGGCCATCCATTGCGGTCGCTATAACCACACGATTGCTATAAGTGGTGTCAATGCGTTTGAATTGAGTTTCAGGGCTGACGATAACAATGCCAAATAAGTGGCCATTTTTAGCCACCGGTGACCAACGCTGAAGACCGCACACCTGTATGACACCAGTGGTCGTAATGAGTACCGTATGGTCGGGTCCGCAGATGGCGTGTCGATAACGGCGACCGTTTTTGTACAATTGTGAACGATATGGTTGGCCGTCGACTCTCACCACGAGTGGACCCAACTGTTGGCTATCATTACTGCCCCAGATATGAGCGGTTCCCGTATTTGTCAGACATAAGTAGGGCGAACAGTTGTGTTTTTTTTTTACTATATTGCAACATAACTGCGTTTTTGGGTTTATTTGAAAAGCGGAAGTAATTGCTAAAAATTATAAGTAAAATCTGTAAGAAGTCGAATGATATACTTCATATGGCCAGACGATCTCTTGTTTGATCGCAGTGACCACTTTTATTTTAAAAAAAATTTAAAACAAAATATTGTATTTTTTGTATAACTATATCATATAATATATCAATAGAAAGGTATGAATTAAAGAAGTAGAATTCCGAAGAAATTTCTCAATTCAACCGCATTCAAAAAGTGTTACATAAGTATTTGGATGAGAATCTATTTCGGGGCAACTCTTAAGCATTACTGTTGCTATCGCTTTGGCAATGATTTTATTAACCCTCGTTCGCCACAATAATAGTCCCGTCTCTTTCATTATGATAAACCTAATAGTATTAAAATTACAAATATTTTTATACTGAATATAATTAAAAATATATAAACATGCTTAATTAATTTAGTTAATGCCTACATGTGTTTAAATCGGTATTTAATCCACGGGTTAAACTGTTTGCGGACTAATACGCCGCCAATAGCTAGCATTAGATTTTCATTAGACTTATGCAATGGTAGAGTTGGGTAGAGATAAATGATCTCATTTATCAACGACTCGTACGCGACAAACACCGATTGGCTCTTAATTATGGGCAGTAAATGTGTTTTCCATTGTATATCGTATTGATTGCAATCAATATATTTTAAATGTGGGTACTTTATCTAACAATAATAAATATAATATTAATATTTATGATAATAATGCAAATAATTTATTGTTATTTGTAGTTTAGTCAGTATTATTTTTGTAAATATGATTTACCTTTAATAAATGCTTGTATGCAAAACTAGTTTTATCGATGAGTACCGTTAAGTCGGTATTGTTTGCGTCGATAATATCCTGAAAACAATTAATTCCTGACAACGGAATGATTGCCAGATTTGACAGGAATTTACTTCGAAATAATTGGTCCCAAAATAGACAGTTTAGGAGCCATAGGGCGAACATTACCCTCCAAA